AGTCATTCTCAAATGCCAACACACTTCTTCATTTTCAGTAATAAAATTAGCAATTTCAGTAATAAATAAAATTTGAATTTTTAAAACATTTTGATGCTGTAAGCTCTATAAAAATATATCTTAAAATATTCAGTGTTATACATCTTGTATTCAAAATTTATGTAATATTTATGTAATAATTAAATTTAAAGTTTATGATTTTACAATATTGAATTTAAATAAGGCAACAAAATAAGTTTTTAGTTTGAGAAAATCAATTTTGACTTTGACTTTAGTTTATTGTGTTTTAAACGCTGTCATTAAACCCCCCCCCACCTTTTTTTTTATATGATTTTGTTTAATGTGTTTTAAAATTACTTTGCCATTAGCAAGACTGAAATTAAACACTTCCCCCCCCTCTCCCTCTCTACTCATATGATTGTGTTTATTGCGTTTCTAACTTACTAACTTTGCGATTAGCTCAAATGAAATTTAAAACTTTTTGTTATTTAAATTGAAACAGCTTTTCTATTTATATTTGAACTTTTAAAACTTTTTGATGTTGTAATAACTATATATATATATATATATATATATATATATATATATATATATATATATATATATATATATATATATATATATATATATATATATATATATATATATATATATATATATATATATATATATATATATATATATATATATATATATATATATATATATATATATATATATATATATATATATATATATATATATATATATATATATATATATATATATATATATATATATATATATATATATATATATATATATATATATATATATATATATATATATATATATATATATATATATATATATATATATATATATATATATATATATATATATATATATATATATATATATATATATATATATATATATATATATATATATATATATATATATATATATATATATATATATATATATATATATATATATATATATATATATATATATATATATATATATATATATATATATATTATATATATATATATATATATATATATATATATATATATATATATATATATATATATATATATATATATATATATATATATATATATATATATATATATATATATATATTAATATATATATATATATATATATATATATATATATATATATATATATATATATATATATATATATATATATATATATATATATATATATATATATATATATATATATATATATATATATATATATATATATATATATATATATATATATATATATATATATATATATATATATATATATATATATATATATATATATATATATATATATATATATATATATATATATATATATATATATATATATATATATATATATATATATATATATATATATATATATATATATATATATATATATATATATATATATATATATATATATATATATATATATATATATATATATATATATATATATATATACTATATATATATATATATATATATATAATATATATATATATATATATATATATATATAATATATACTATATATATATATATATATATATATATATATATATATATATATATATATATATATATATATATATATATATATATATATATATATATATATATATATATATATATATATATATATATATATATATATATAAATATTCAGTGTTATACATTTTGTATTTCAAATTTATGTAAATTTTTTGCTCTACTTATTTATAAACTGCAAAATTTTAATTCGTTTGTTTTTCAAAATAATAAAGGAGGAAAGGGGGCGGAGGGAAAGTATTTATAGGGTGTTATAAGTTAAAAGTAAAATGTTTATTAAAAAAATTTTAATTTTTTTTTAAGCAACAGCAAATGAAGTTATTTATATTCAATACAATTACTTATTTCATTATAAAATTTGAGCTTTAAAAAGATTAATAAAGTGTAATTTTTTAATTAATAATTTACCTGACATTATGAGAGTTTCTTTTATCATAAGTGCCCATTGTGTTAATTTTAAAAAAATAATAATATCCTTTGATTTATGTGTAGAATATAATTTAAAAAAAAAACAAATGACACTATCTTAGGCAACAGATCTCTAATGCAAAGCTAAAGTGCTTTGCATCAGAGATCTAAAATAATTTGATCCAAATTGATTTATAGCAATTTTGAATCTAGTTTTTAAGCTCTTAAAAACAAAAGCAAATACATCTGAAAATCGACTGATATTATTATAAATCGTCTGATATTAACTATATTATTATTATTTATTATCAACTTTAGCAAGCACTTAAGGATAAATTTTTTTAAAGTCAAAGTTTATTTTTCTAAAACTATTTATAGCATGCTTAATATTTAGAAAAAATTCAACATGTAATCAACTTGTTCAAAAATTAATAGCTGTTAAAAAACAGGAAAAAATCCTTTTGCTTGTAGCAATTTTATACAAAATAACTCACTATTTAAATATAGTTTTTTTAAGAACTATTTAAATAGTTTTTTCAAGAGCTGCCTTAAATATTGATCTGAAATGATGTGAAAATTGATGGAAACATTGTGAATCAAAAATAATAGCTATCAACAATGAAATTTAAAGAAGAAACAGGTAAATTTAATTTAGGTTTCAATAACATAGTAGTATATGACTGATGTCATATTTGGGCTGGTTCTTCTAATGATGCTCTTTCTCGTCTAGACAAGGTCCAAAAATGCATTGTAAATGTAGTTGGATTTGCTTTATCTGCCAAGCTTAAAAAAAAAAAAGCTTCAAATCTCTTATTCATTTATACAGAGACAAATAAGAGATTTGTAGAGATAGAGAAAGGATTCAGGAGTAAAAAAATGGGTAGCATGATAAAGAGAAGCAACATTAGCAGATGCTAATTTAGCAATCGATTATATTTATGGTTTCCATGAAAAGTTAGTAGTGAATGATAATCCAAGACATTAAGAAGAGGAGTCAGTGAAAGGGTTACCATTAATTAATATAGAAATACCGACAGTATTGAAATGTGACAGTATTGCAGCATCGGGTGGACATGGAAAAATCCTGTCAACTTTAAATTGAGATTTCTCTAAAACCATAAATGCTTTTTCTTTCGATTTTTTTTTTATTATTAAATGTGTTTACATAAATTAGAGTTTCAACTTAATTTTAAGAGGCTTGATGGGTTGCTTGGCAAGAAATCAAACTTTATAGCGGGTTGATGCCATCATTTTACAGATTTTTTCTTTTTTCATCATATTGGTGGCATTAATCCACTTTTTTTGGATTTCTTTTATTATTTGTTAGTCCACCTGTCTTACGAAGAACTCCTTTAACTATTGCCCAAAAATCTTCAATCTTGCGCTCTTCAGGACAATTTGGAGGATTTGCATCTTTAGGAACAATTTTCACATTATTATCTTTGCACCACTGTAAAACTTTTTTAGAATAGTGAGAGGCAGCAAGATCGGGCCAAAAGAGACATCGGTATTTGTGTTTTTTTATAAAAGGCAAAAGTCTTTTTTGGAGGCATTCTTTGATGTATAGATTGGCAGTCAAGGTCTTTTTAGTGACAAAACAAGAGGACTGCATACCACAGCTACAAATTGCTTGCCACACAAGGAACTTGGATGCAAATTTTTCTCGTCGAATATATTTAAATTGATCATCGACAGGTTTATCTTTGTTTTCATAGTAAAACTGTTGACCAGGAAGTTGTGAAAAATCCGCCTTGCAATACGTTTCGTTGTCTTCAATTATGCACATATTTTTATCCGCCATTATTTTAACCAACTTCTTTGCGCGTCGAATTCCTTTAATTTCACAATTTAAGCTTCTCTTAGGTGTATTTTTTTTATGAAATGCTTTAATTCCAGCATTTTTAAGTACTTTTTTGATATAAGAACAAGAAATCTTAAAATATCTTGCTAGATCTCACTGTGACTGATTTGGATTTCTTGCTATTGAACATAAAATCGACTTTACCTTTTTGGATTTATGGAAAGTTTTTTTTCTTCCACTTCCAAGTTTTCTTTCGAAGCTTTGAGTAGTCTTGAACTTGTTTATAATATCTATGACTGTAGATTTTGGGACATTTGTGCGTTTAGCAGTCAAGTGATAGGAAGTCGATGGATTTTTGCAAAAAAAATTCACAACTTTTTTACGCACCTCAACTTGTTTCCAAAACATTTTGCAAATCATTAATTTGTAAACAAAAATTTATCAACACCATTTAAGATAAGGAAGTAAGGTTTAATAAAAAAATCTCTATGAAAAAGAAAGCTTATGGAGAACACCAGCATGCCAAACTTTGTCAAAAGCTTTAGATATGCCAAGAACATTAGCCCTAGACTCTCTGCCTCCGTTTAATGCATGATAAAATCTTTCATTCATAGAAGTAAGCAAGTCAGAGCAAAGGATTGAAAACCATATTGATTCTCTGACAGTAATTTATTTGACTCAAGATGGGATGTTAGAATTTTATTAATTAAAGTCTCTAAGACTTTGCTAATAACAGAAAGAAGATTGATTGAATGAATAATTGGAGATTTCAGAATGTTCTCCGGAGGTTTTTGGAAATTGGAACAACAGATGCCATTTTCAAGCAGGCGGGAAAAGAAAACAATTTTGTAAGACAGCAACAGGTATTTTGTTGGCATTTAGTCAACAAAATAAAATTCGGCATTTAACCAAAATTTGTTAAGATTGTAATTAACATAATTGTTAATTTTCTTTATTGATTTTATAGGAAACTGGCATTATTAGCAAAAATGTATACATACCACAGAAATTAATAAATCAAACTATTTATATAAATGAAAAACAAAAACAAAAGTCCTAAAATAAATTATAACATTAGCTATAATTTTTTTTTTCAATAAAATAATATTTTTAAATACTATTACAATATTTGGTATACAAAAGTTTATGCTATATGTTTTTATTTTTTACATTTTCATATTATTTACTTTTTTTTCAAGTGAAATTACCTTTTGACATAGTGTTAAACACAGCCATCGATTCTTTTTCTTGTTTTTTCATTAAAAAAACTTCGCTTTTTCTTGTCATTTCCATTTTTTGATTGTATATAGTACAATGATTCTTAAGTAATTGCACTATCTTTTATATATTACCATTTTTTGAAAACTCTTTTTTGCTTTATTTTTGACAAATTTTTTACATGTTGTATCGAGCTCCACGTGCTCCATTACATAAACAAACGGCAAGGTACCTCTGTAACATGGTTTTTAGCCACTTCAGTAGGGCTTAATCTCGCGCATTCATCCAAATGCCCAGTGGAAAAAAAATGCTTGTCCCACATGGGTTTCATGTAAGATCCCGTGAATCCCACACAGATTTTTTTCACTGGGAATGCGGACTCAACAGAAAGTGCGGACACTTCAATTTTATTTTGTTTTTGGACTTTGTCCGCGCAAAACGAACATTACTTTAGCGTAAATAAAAAAAATTAAGAAAAGTAATTAAAGCACGTATGTATTAAAGTTCAGTATGACTTTAAATAATTTCTAAAAAAATTAACTTAAAAAATTCAGTAAAATTTATGTATTTTGCTGAAAAAAACGTGGACTGAAGTGCGGACTTAAGCGACCTAAGTCCGCACTTTAAGAGCCTACTGCATCTTAACTTTAGTACAGATGTGGGCCAGATTCAGCCCGCTGCGAGTTTTGATCCAGCCCGCGAGACATTTTGAAAAACTCAATTAAAAATTTTGGTGCATCTCGAGATCAGAATTAATATGATTGTTATTTATAAATACAGTAGTTTTAAGCATTTTGAATTTCTTGTTATTAAATGAAGCGTGTTAAAAACGTATATAATTAAAAACTTAATTTGTTTAGCTTTCTATCGATATATAGTTTGTTATACTTTCAAAGAGAAAGTGTAACAAGCTATATGATGATAGAAAGATAACAAACTATTTGAGTTTCAATAACTTTACAATGTTATGTCATCCAAATTCTAAAAAAATGTGCGCGAAGTTTTTTGTTAAAATTGCCGATGGGGAAAGAGTTAAGTTTATCGAACGAAAAGTAAACGAAAATGATGTCTGGTGATAGAATAGAAAAGTAGATAGAGAGGGTCGCCAGTATCAAGTGTCTCGTTGATTTTAGCAACGCTAGTTTAATTATTATGTTGAATCTACTTTTTTCATTTAATTTTGTTATCTGAATATTACAATAATTGTTTTTTGTTTGTTTATTACAATAATTGTTATTTGAGTATTACAATAGCAATGTCCAGGGCCGTCTCGAAGAGATTTTCAAGGTAGGGGGTGACGTGTCTGTTTTTTGCCGACAAAGGCTAAAAAAAAAAAATTTATGCACACTAACTTATTAAAAAAAAAATCCTTGTTTTCCGACAATTGTTGAATGCCAACTATAAATCCAATTTTGCTGACTCCAGTGTCCAATTTGCCGACTAATAAAATTCGTAGGGGGGCTGGACACCCCCTTACGCCCCCCCCTCCTCCTCGGGACGGCCTGGCAATGTCTTATTATTTCATGTCTAATATATATCGTTAAAAATTATGACTTACTTCATTATAGTACTACTTTAAAATGCAGTTCTTTAAAACGCGGCACGCGAACGTGTTTGCACACTAAAGTTTGGCCTACACCATGTCAAGGTTTGCCCATACCTGCTTTAGTACATTAGTATATTTGCATTAAAAAATAAACCAAAAGAAAAAAATGGGATGTTATTTGATTACTTAACAATTAACAACACCTATTTTTTAATTATCAGTAATTATAGATTATTTTCATTTTATTTATTTTATTTTTTTTTTGCTATGAAAAAGTAATACAAATTCTTCATTTTTTTTTTTGAATATTCAAATAAAATATTAATAAAAAATTTTAAATAGAGGAGCGTGGGCATAATATTATGGTGATCAAGAGAATGCCCCAATTTACTTAGCTTTACATCAAACTAGATCAAAGCTCATTTGCAGACTAACTTTTTATAAAAAATTTTAATTTTATGCTTTTGTTTTTGTTTTGGACGTTTATAAAAAATGAAAAATAAATTAAAGTTAATTAATAAAAATTTATCGTTACTTTAGCTGAAAGATAGAGAGAGAATTCAAAACTTAACATGGCCTTAAATTTAAAACAAATTTGATTTCTGAAGATGTATTTTGAATTGACTTATGTTCGGTTGAATTTTTTTATGTATTAGAAGACGCTAATTTTTGCAAAGGACGATTAGATATGGCGAAAAGTAGGGTAGGGTATCATTGGCTACAATTACTCCAACTTCTAATTTAATGCATGTCATTCTCATTTGAAACAATATCTTAGAAGTATGACTTCTAGACTTTTACTCACCCTCTTTAAAAAGTGAAAGTTTTAACTTTTTTGAAATATTAGCTTTTTCTTATTTTTAGTGTTAAAGTTTGCTTTGGTGTAAAGTGTTAAAATCTGATAAAAGTTCAAATTTTTCAAAAAAATTAATATAAATATGTTTAATAGTTATTTATTTAAACATAGACAAAAATACTATCCATAGCAACGGTTTTATTTTTTTTCACTTTCTCTATATATTCAATGCTTTTTCTGAAAAGACATAATATATCTGAAATTCTCGCACTTCAATCTTTTTGGGACTCTCTCCCTCGTCTTTATGTTTTCTTGACTCTTACAACCTGCAAATTTTTAAGTCTTTTGTCAATCGCTTCTTGCTCTTTAAGTCCATACTTTGTTTTCTAGTAACCTCCCAACTTTAGAGTGGTTGCTTGCAGCCTAGTTGGGAGTGAATTAAGGCTTGTTTTTTTGTTTTGTTTTTTTTATTTAAAAAAAGTGCTTTTTTGCTTTTTTTAAAGACAAAAGAATTACGGTCAAATAGTAAGTTTGCTAATATTATCTATAATAAAATACTTTCACGTGATTTTTAAATATTATTGTTGTTTGAGTCAAATGTAAAAGGGATTCAAAGTTAAGTATAAAATGGATTCAAATAAACATGTTTCTGAAAAATTATTCAACTTTTTTTCAAACTTATAATTTTAACTTCATGAAACTGATTTTTTGAAAGCGCTTATTTTTACTCCGACGAAACTGAAGATTTTATAAACATTGATGAATTTTAACAAAATTCATATAAATATAAGAAGTTTAGAAAAGAATTATGAACACATCTTAAATATTACACATTTTTGCGTTTAAGTTGGCCAATTTTCACTATAATTTGGCATTTTTTCATTTTAATTTGGCATTTTTCACTTTACAAATTAAAGTGAAGTTTTTAATTTTAATTTAAAGGCCGTTTTCCACAAGACGAAAAATTCGCACGAAGCGAATATTTTCGTCGTTAAGCATGCGCAGATTAAACATTTTTGGCGATTATACTGATTTTTTTTCGCTACAGCGTTTCGCTGCAGCGAAAAAAAAAGTCGGATTCATTTCGACTTTTTGCGAATCGCCACAAGCGAAAACCAATAAAATTTTGAAAATTATATCACGTGATGTCAACATTAAAAAAAAGCGAAAACATGTTGTTTTTAAAGTAACAAAAAACAAAATTCTTAACCTGGCGTTCTTATTAATTTTATATGAACTTACTCTAAAAATTGGCTAGCATGAGTAAATTTATCAAACAAGGGGCAAGACTTACATAAAAAAATGACCAGACTTATATATAAAACTAAATCGAAAATTTACAAATATAAATTTTCACACTGTCAATTACGAAAGTTACACTTCATAAGAATGTTTATCTTCAAGTGGCCACACGAAGATAAACCTTTTTGTGAAAAATTCTTTATAGAGTTAAACCTGCTGCTCGTTCTTGCAGTAATAGTTTTTAATAGAAACGTTCATATCAGAGTTTAGCATTTATTTTCTTATACTTTCTTGTAAAAAAAAAACCTTATATTAAACGATTATATTACACAATAATATCACATCTTACATATAAAGGCAGAAATGTTAATATTAATTCACGGAAAGAAATTTTCACATGCTTCAAAGTAGAAAGTATGCTAAAAAAGTATTAACTCCTTTCAGTTAAATATACAGCGTAAACTTATTGCTGCCATTTTTATTGTTGACAACGAAAAAAAAGTAGCGCGAAAGAAAGTAAGTGGAAATCAAAACAGCGTTTCGTCGTAGCGAAAAAATTCGCTTCGCGTGAACTTTTCGTCTTGTGGAAAACGGCCTTAAATTCCATTTTAATTAAGCAATTTTCACTTTACAAATTAAAGTGAAATTTGCTAAAATTAAAATGAAAAAATTCCAAATTAAAGTGAAAATTGGCCAATTTAAAGGAAAAAGGTGTAGTAGTGAAATTGCTGTCTTTTAATTTAAGTTTGCGAGACTGAAACCTAAAGCTCACTTGCTGATTTTGAAAATGAGTCTAAACTCCGATTACCGTGTGGTGGAGTTCTTTTTTTTTCAAAAAATCTTTTGTATAAGTTCCGAAGCGACGCGTCGTGACGTTAGTGCTTCTGATATAAATAATGCGATTTTAACAATCGAGCTAATCATCAAAAAACCTGCCTTTAAGCTGTTGCTATAGGCCACTGTTGCTATTGGCCATTTAATTTCCTTGAAACATGATTAGAAATTTGTATAATTCTTTCTAGACATTTTTGTTTGAAACACAAATAGATCAATTTTGGTATTATATCCGCACGAAGGAATTTGCGTGAGAACGCACGTACAACCCGTCGCTCTAAACGTAAATATCAGATAATCGAAAACAAAAAACATTTAATAAAGTGATACTTACTAGTTTTTGTTTTATGTTTTTATGTCATTAGTGTAAATTAATTAGTATCTAAATCAATAAATAAAAAATTATTACTATTAAAAAAAGTTTATTACTATTTGAAAAAAGTTTATATTCGTAAAATTTCATTTAACAAATAGTAGTTTTCGCTATTTTTTAATGTAAACACCCGGATTGCGGCCGTGGCGCAGTTTAGAAGCAAGAGATGCAGGGTCCGAAGCGAGCTCTAGACATATTTCGTGCCATCGGTAATTAAAGAGGCGTGAACCTTCTAGCTTAACGTTTTTCCGCGGTGCTCTGTGTCAAGACCTCAAATTCTCCTTGGGGCACTTAAAACAAAAATTAAAAAAAAACATTATTCACCAGTACTTACAGCATTGTC